TTAAAGTGATTCAGGAACCCACAGCTTAACAAAATAAGTGATATAACATTCGCTGAGGGTAAATATTTGCTTCAGTCTCTATTTTTCTTTTACATATACTACCTAACACACAATCGAAATTTTTAAATGATCAAGAAAATTTGACCTGTGGTCAAAAAGAGAAACAGAACCACAAATGATCCAGATGTTAAAATAATCAGAAGTCCTAAACACAATAAATATGTTAGAGGATTTAGTGGAAAACATGCAAAAACATATGAGAATTTCAACAGAGAGCAAAATTATTGGGAAAAATGAAAGTGAAATGAAAACTCAATGAGGTTTTTCTAATTGTGTTTTCAGCGATAGAACACAACAGAAGGAAAAACTGAACTTGAAGATGATGAAATTGAACAGAAAGTATGAAAACCACGACAGGAATAAAAAGTGAAAAATGGGGCCTACTTGGTGGCACTAAGGGGTAAGTCTCAGCACTATGAAGTTATCAGTATGCATTGCAGCATAAGTTAGCGCCCAAGCCAAGAGCTAACCCACATGGTGCTGTAGACCACTCCTGTCTTGCCCACTGCTCCCCTCAGTGAATTTCAGTAGATCTGCTTGTTCTGCTCCCCACTCTATCTCTGGTGAATCCTCTCACCCCCACCCCCCATACCTCTGGCCTATTCCCTAGTTCTTGAATGCATAAATAAAATAATTCAAAAAAAAATAAGAAAAAGAAAAATGGGTCTTCCCTGATAACCTTGAGTTGTCAGTTCAAAATATTAAACTAAATTAAATTAAAAAGTGAGGGCCCTCCCTGGGGCGCAGCAAATTAAAGCACAGCATTAAGAAACTAAAGCTACTTCAGCATGAGTTCGATCCCCGCCTGCCCCAGAGGTGACCCACATAGCACGACAGAACTCTCCTGACCCACCCTCTGCTTCCATCAGCAGTGTACTTCCTCAGTCAGCCTGTTCTGCTCCCCCATTCTGTCTCTGGTGAAGCCTCTCATTGCCCCTGCACCTCTGGACTGTACCCCAGTTCTGTATGCATAAATAAATACATCTTTAAAAAAATAAAAAAGTGAAAAATGGATCAGAACATCTGCTTACCTGCCAGGCAAAATGAAGGTGTGAGTGGGGGTGGATGTGTGGGTGTGATTGGAATTCCAGAAAAAGAGAAAGAAAATGGGGCAAACTAAATCAGTTTTCCAAAGTTGGTAAGATATAGCCACAGATTACTATCCTCTGGGGTGATGACTTCTATCATTTTATACTGTTCAAAGAAACCCCAGGACTACACTGGTTCATGGTAGGGAAACACAGACACCATTTCTTAACCAGAGGGTTTCAAAAGCATAGTGTAGAAGAGCACCTAGGATAGACGATGTTTAAAAAAAAAATCTGCCAGAGATAATGTCCTATTTCCATATTATGCTTCCATTATAGACAAAGTGCCCCCCCCCCCTTTATTTTTTAATGAGAAAAAGAACAGGACACTGGACAATATTGGCGACTAAGCTAAATGGAAGAGAAATGGAAGAGAAAGTTTTATTTTTATACAATATATTTGTCTTTAACTACAAAATCGATAGAAAGACAATGGAACTTTATTTTCTAAAAATTGGGACTACTAAGTAAAATGTTTTTAAAGAGCATTTAAATAGGAATAACAAAGACAAACTATATATAGTAGTTTGACATCTCTTAATTCCTGCTTTAATTTTAAATATACAGTGAATTTCTAACAATTTAAGTGATTGATAACAATCCTTTCTCTCCATCTTCTCTCATGCATTTTAAAGATTTTTTGAGCCAGAATGCATAGAATTCTTATGAATTAGCCCACTGCCTCTGAAGCAGACACCAAAACTAGGTTAGATAGATTTCCTGGAAGAAAGGAGTGAGAGAGAAGAAGGCCCTATTGAAGGCTACAGAGCTAAAACAATACAAGTGTTATAGAAGTCAGATATTGTATTGTGATCCCACAATACAAGAAGGAAGGAAGGTCTGAAGACTGCAGCATGGTTTTAAGATTAGGCAAGACCAGCAGGGGGTCTTTGAGGCCACTTCAGTTGCAGAGACATCTGGCCAGCCCCCACAGTAAAGAGCCATTGTTCTGATTTCAGCCACACTTGGTCATTGGCTAGAAATCACCACAAATGCTAGGATGAATTTCAGAGTAAAATGTTGGCAGTGACTTCAATGATGACTCCACAATAGATACAAGAGGTACATTTTTCTTGAAAAATAAATCTGGGTCTTCCCTGGCCGCAGAGTGGTTAAAGCTCAGCACTAAGAAGCTAAAACAACTTCAGCATGAGTTCGATGTTTGATTCCCGCCCTGGAGGTGATCCACATGGTGCAGCAGACCTCTCCAAGACCTGCCCGCTGCTCCACTCAGCAGGGTACTTCATAGATCTGCCTGTTCTGCTCCCTGCTCTCTCTCTGGTGAATCCTGTCACCGACCCTGAAACTCTGGCCTGTACCCCAGTTCTGTATGCACAAATACATATATAAAAAAAGTGAAAAATAATTCTTACTACATTTTCCTCCTTATCCTAAAAACATTTCTCTAGTTGCATTTCATTTTAACAAGGAAGGAAATTCTCTAAGTTCATCTAAGTTATCCATTTTGGATTTTAACAACCTTATTTAAAACAGGATAGCTTAGGTTAACTTGACATTATCTTAAATTAAAAAAAAAAACACTCCAGTTTAAGGTCAGCATTTCTCTTTGAATAATTCAACACCAGGACTTGATTTTGTTCAATAAATCCTAAGTAAAATTACCCTTAAGCTATTGAATAGCACTGTTAACTGCCAAAGGCTTTCTAACATCTCAGAATTGTAAACAGGAAATCAGATAAATGTAAAATGCTCATGCTCAATTTATAGTCACATGTCAGACTATTTA